TTGTTACTAATAGCTTCTTGTTACTACTAGTAAGGCACTTGTTACTAGTAGCGATGCACTTGTTACTACACTGAGGTCGCTCCGATCACTCCCGTCGCACCGAGACAGGCACAGCACTCAGCGCCAGGTGCGCTGCACGGTTCGCTTGCAACAGGCGTGACCTGGATCCAGCCCGAGATTTACAGCTGATTCATGGTTCGTATTGATTCTACACTTCAACGCTCTAGACTCTAAAATTCTCAAGGGTCAAGAAGTATATAATTCATGGGCGCATGATATCCTTTGACTGTTCTTGAGTGTAGCCTTGTCGACTGTGCTGCGGGAATCTGCTCACAAGGCCATTGGAGCGTGTAAAGAAGTTGAGCCTTGTCTGCAGAATGTGAGCATAGTCGAGCTGTGTTTCATCTTTTTGCGTCAGGCTCTTGCTAGTCTGATCCAAGATGATCTAAGATCGAATCATTCTGGCCAGGCTGGATCACGATCTCCCCGCCTGCAAATCAAAAAGAAGGCTTGATTGACACATCCTCGCCACTGGTCACGACAAAACTTGCTCCTTAGAATGGACGAGTAACTTGCAAAGCAGCAGAACTTACATAACTTGCATTCATTTACATTCCCAAAGTGAGCTAGTAAGGCATACTAGGGCAGTTGAATCCACTACCCAAGTCTAGCGTGGCAGGCACGTTCTGGGTGGTGGTTGTTGAGTCCTTCCAGGATTGGTGAGGAAGCCATCTCCATGCTTTGCTTGCGCCTTGGGAGCTCGCCTGGAATGGAAGCTGAGAGCTTCCAGAGCTTCCAGAGTAGCACAGCACACGCTGCACCTGATCGTCCCAAGTGACCCATGTCAGCTTTTCAGCTGGAAAGAAAGGAGCACCTGAAGAGCTTCTGCAGCTCGATTCTCCAAATGGCAGCTGAAAAGAATCCGGCCTCCAAGCGCAGCGATGGTGAAGCAAGTCCGTGCATGTCTAATCCACGACACCCGCAACAGCTGCTCAGTGTTCTGCCATCTGCTGCATATGAGGGGCTCGGCCTCTTCTCGGAATAGTTTCAACAATCACAGCAAAGCTACTAGGAGCAAGAAGCTACTAGGAACAAAGGGCATCGCTACTAGGAGCAAGGACGCTACTAGTAGCTCCTGGCATTACTACTAGTAGCAAGAAGCTACTAGGAACATCCTCTACTCTACTTCACCCGAACCAACAAGCCTTGCAGTCATGGAGAGGGCAGGCTCCACGCGAATCTGCTCCTCCAAGGTGATCCATTGCCTTTGCTCGCTCTTGGGTCCATCACCGAGAGCCTGGAGAGCCAAGGAGTCAAGGAAGTAGTTCAAGAATTCGGAAAATTGACGTAATGCATTTCCTGTAACAAAAACACGAGACACATGTCACAGTTGCCCGGCAATGGTGCGCCTCCGCTAATACCAGTAACCGCACAGAATGCAAGCCACTGGCATTGATGCACACCAGAACTCAGTCAGCTCCGAATTGTTGAAGTCGCTTGTGTGGAAACCAACGGTTCAGTGTCCAAAGAAATCCAAAGAAGCATAGCCACCGAGCAAGAAATGCGAAGACGTGAAAATGTGAGGTGTATTTTGGCTGTGAAACGGAAAGTAAATTGAGACTGACTGAGAACCATACCCGGCACCCGCAGCTCTCGAGGGAAAGTGCCGTGTAGTCGCAGGCCCTGCAGTTTTAGTCCAAAGATTCAACGAAACTTGAGTAACAAAGAGCATCGCAACTAGTAGCTAAGAAGCAACTAGTAGCTCCTGGCCTTACTACTAGGTACAAGGACGCTACCAGTGGCATTACTACTAGGAACAAAGACGCTACTAGGAGCAAGGACCCTACTGCATCGCTACTAGGAGAAAGGACACTAGTAGTAGCTCCTGGCATTACTACTAGTAACAAGAAGCTACTCGGAACAAAGGGCCTCGCTACTGGGAGCGACGCTACTAGTAGCTCCTGGCATTACTACTAGGAGCAAAGACGCTACTAGGAGCAAGGACTCTACTGCATCGCTACTAGGAGCAAGGACGCTACTGCATCGCTACTAGGAGCAAGGACGCTACTAGTAGCTTGTGGCATTACTACTAGTAACTAGGAACAACAGGCATCGCTTCTAGTAGCTAAGAAGCAACTAGTAGCTCCTGGCCATACTTCTAGGAACAAGGACACTACTAGTAGCAAAGGGCATTCCTACAGTACTAGGAGCGATGCTCCTAGTAGCTCCTGGCGTTACTACTAGGAACAAGGACGCTACTAGGAACAAGGACGCTACTGCATCGCTACTAGGAGCAAAGACGCTACTAGTAGTAGCTCCTGTCCTTACTACTAGTAACAAGAAGCTACTAGGAACAAAGGGCATCGCTACTAGGAGCAAGGACGCTACTAGTAGCTCCTGGCATTACTACTAGTAGCAAGAAGCTACTAGGAACAAAGGGCATCGCTAGGAGCGACGCTACTGCATCGCCACTAGGAGCAAGGACGCTACAAGTAGCCCCTGGCATTACCACTAGTAAGAAGAAGCTACGAGGAACAAGGGCATCGCTACTGGGAGCGAGGCTACTAGTATCTCCTGGCATTACTACTAGGAACAAGAAGTACCGAAGTACCCATGTCACCTAGCCTCTTCCCTGAAGTCCACCTCAAGCCCCTGCCACAGCGCCAGGTGGCTTCACAAGTACTGTATTGCTTTTGCTTGGCGAGTTTGAACAGCTAAAAAGAAACAAAGAGTCTGTTGCTTGCAGCAGCAAAACCATTGTAATTACCAAGTTTGACCACAGTTTCTTCCGCGGTGTCCAATATTAAACCACATAGTGCATTGTGTATCTGTCACTTGTGTCACACATGGAATGTGAAAGCCAAAAGGCCTCATATCCTTCAGGAGCATCGAGGGCAACACCGGGATAGGACCTTACCGTGGGTATTTGGACTTGCGCCACCTCCCGAGTTTCGATCCAAGGCGGGGACGCCGCCACATGCAGAAATGCCAATGGGCAATCCGTTTCTGTACTGATGACCAAACTGGCAGAATGGGGCACAAGTCCAACGCCGGCTGAGCAGTTCTCGCCGAAGCTAACAAAGCTTTTTCTGCTCAAATTGCCTTGCCTGCACTTGTGAAGTTCACCTGTCATGGATACATGCTTTGCCACATGCTCCCATTTGTCTTCGTCAAGGCCTTGCAACAAGCGAGGGACTCGCGTCACACCCTCCAGCTCGATCCTGGGCACTGTCACACATCAACAGCAATCGTGGAAAAAGCTCTAAGCCATGTACAGCTGCAAGCCTCACGGCACCGTGGACAAATGGACTTTGTTGCACTTGATCTTGGAAGTCCCGCAGATCAAAAATCAAACAAAAGAGAGAGCCAGTGACAAACTGATGGTGCCACATTTGGAAGCGGCATCCAGAGTAAGACTATGTTCATTCCATCGATATTCGTCAGCTTTCGGAAGCCTTAGCAAATTCCTGCTAGTCGCCTGCTAGTACAAAGAATGTTTTTGGGGCGACCGCGACAATATGTTTTTCTAAACGCTTTTCGCACCTTGAAGTTGGGCGGACAAACGAGGCTTCTTCGATCGAACCTGGACCACGGACGGCAGAGGTAAGGCAGAGTCAGCAGTGTCAAAGAACTTGACTCTAAGTCCATGAAGGTTGAGATCAGTTGAGCGTCCGAGACACATGTCCCATTTTGATCCAATTCCACAAGGAAAGTTTGGAAAGCCCAAAACAATCACTTTGATTGCTTCGCCATGCTTCGCCAAAGGTGGGCCTTGAGCTCCAAGCGCAAGTCACCACTATAGACGCCACTCTTGGATGCGCGTTGCTCCAGCCTTGAGCATAGACCATAGTAACGGTTAAAGGAAGAGCATGATAAAAAGTAGTTTCCTGCTACTAGTAGCGACGCCCTTGTTATTAGTAGTTTCTACTGTAAGTCCTTCGCAGCTGCACTGAGTCACTAAGTGCCGGGCGTGTTTCGAAGGCGCCGTCCTTTAAGCTGGAATGGGCGATCACAAATCACCTGCAACAGGGAGTGATTTGATGACATGGTGCGTTCAGGAGTTCTCATGTTGTGAAAAGGGATGGTTCAAGAATGAACGTCTAGAGTACCAGATTGTTGAGCCAGAACCTGTTGTTATGCCTCTTTGCAGCGTGTGCAAGAAACCCCCACGTGCTTTGCATTGTTCAGCCCAGGCCTGTCGGCAATCGAAAAGATTCCATGTGACACTCTGAATCTGCAGCAATCCCTGCAGGACCAAGACTTCAAAATGGACACATGTTGCATCTTTGACACATCTGCCTTTACATTTATATGTATATATATGTCACTGCTCTCACATGACGGACTTTTCCTTCAAGGGGTTGCGCCAA